TTTTTTTTTTTATACATTATTTAAATCTAAAGACTATAAAACATCATTTGAGAAGAAATCATTATAAACTACTATGTATATTTAGATACTATTAATGGCAGAAAAACTATTTTAACATATCCTACATCTGTTTTCTAATCAAAACATTAGAGAATAGTCTTGTTATATTAAAAAGAAAAATTTTATATCTTCAATTTATAATTAGATTACAAAATTTCGATAATTATATATGTTATAATAAGTGCACATTATATTTATAAAATAATTTACATAGCATACACCTTATCAAAATACAATTGGCGTATCTTTATAAATACGTTGTCAATCGAAAACTATTTAATTCCTTAGCTGAATTAGAACTATTAATTCTTGAACTAGCATATTACATTTAACCTCTTGCAATCAAATTAGAGATTTTCGTTAAACTTTAAGTTATTCCTAATAAAATAGAAATCTAGTAATTTGGTAATTTAAAAAGTTTCACTCCTTCAAAAAATTATGAGTTATCAAGAACTCATTTATCAATTGAGAATTATCAATAATATTTTGTTTGAAACTAAACAAAACATAGTACAAACTATTTATTGAATATTAAGATTGTTAGAGAATCTAGCTGCACTAGGTTAGAGAAATAGGAGCAATCCTTTTATATATTGAAATATTAAAAAATTGCACAATACTCTCAAAAACCAAAAATATCAGGAATTTATTCAAATGGAAATCTTTATGGATATGTTAGTACATGCTACTTATTCAAAGATTACTATTTGGCAATTATTTATAAATTTAATGCTTAATAATAGCAAAGAAGCAATAAAAATTGGAAATTTAATGGTAGTTAAAATAAATTCTAGAAAATGAGACTTAGGTAATCAAATAAATTTTATGATTACCAAAATATACTTCTACTAAGATAATAGGGATGTTTTTTCAAATACAAAATAAGTAAACCATACCTGGAAATATAACTATTCTTTAGAATTAAGTATACATGAGATTCTTAATGAAGTATTTTAAGAGAAAATCGAAAAAAAAAAAGAAAATTAGGAAATTTAGGAATTGGATTAATAAAATATAAATAACTAAAATGAAGGTTTGATGATTTTTTAGATTTTTGTATCTCCTTTACCAGATTTATAAATATAAAACATTAAAAGATTATTAAAATCGTTAAATATAATCCTCAATAAATGCCATAGATATCTAGAATAGACTTGCAATTACTTATAATAGATAATTTAAATTTATATATATGATTAAATTATTTACTAAAATAAAACTAATTTATGAGGAGGAGAACCTAGAAGTGAAACCTAAAATAGCTCTGCCATTTGTTTCATAATGTTGAAAAGCAGAATCTTGATGGAAAAATATAATATAAAAGAAAATAGTGTTCGAAAAGGGGAGCCTTAAGTGCTCATATTTTCCCTTTTATTCTACTTAGTATTAATCAAACTCTTGAGAAGATTAATACTAAAATAAATACCAAATGAATAATTTCAAATCAAAGATCGAACTTGAAAATAAATTTCGAATCCCTAATGAATCTTTATATTTAACCATCTGAATGACATCTAGTTATGATCAATAGATTTGAATAAATGTTGAAAAATAGTAGATTACTTTTAAAATGCTAGTTTCTAAATTAGAAAAAGAAAATTGAAGGCAATACACAACTGCTTCTATAAAAAATGGAAGTCTTTAATGTATCCAAATAAAGAGGTGGTCAACTTTACAGTAATCCTTAGAAAAGAAACTTCCGTTAAGAAGCGTATCATAAATTAAATAGCCACAACAGACTAATATTTAAAGATCAAAATAAAAATTTTATTAAATTTATCTTTGTAGTTGAATCTAAATTCTATTAATTAAGAATAACTAGTGAATTATGTTCTAATCTTAATTTGATAATTAGACATGATATATAATAGGATATTTATAAATCGAAATCAATAAACAAGTGCTTTAATTCCTAATAATTTTTGGTTTTCCTTCATTCAGAAAACGCATTTTGGTTAAATTTTAAAAATTAATCATCTAAATGCCAATTATGATAAAATTAGGTTACATGCAAAGACTATAAATAATGGAAATCAAGACATCTAAGCGATCATCTAGGGAGCCTTATTTAAAAATTGGAAAAATCTTTAGTTGTAAGGAATAAAATAATGAAGTAAGTGGCCTCAGATTATTCAGCATTCGATATTATTTTAAATATAGAATATAATGGATTGTTCTAAAAGAAAAAAGTTTGAATTAGGACTATGAAAAGGAAAGTTTAATAAAGATAATATTGGTACTATTTTGATTCTTTTAATATGATGTGGTTTCATAACTTTGAAAGCTATTTCTTTATATAATCCTTCTGATTTGATCCTTTTTGCAATGCATCAAAATAATACTGTTTAGCCTCTTATTTATTCCCCAATTCAAATAGAGAATCAGCTAAATATAAAAAATTAAAAAATGGTGTACCTTTTAGTAGTAATCTAAGAGGAGTAATGCTAATTGATAGGGCTTAATCATAACACATGATAGCATCCTTATGTTGCTTTAACTTATGTAGTGTGAAGCCTCAATTATATATTAATTTACCTTTATTACTCCATGAAGCATCAAATTTTGGATTAATGGAAATAGCCTTATCGTAGCATTCAATAGCTTCTTCATATTTATTTAAATTGTATAATGCATAGCCTATATAATAATGTCAAACAGTTATTTACCTTTGTTACACCAAGCAGCATCATATTTTGGATTAATGGAAATAGCTCTCTCGTAGCATTCTATTGCTTCTTAATATTTCTTTATATTGTTTAATACAAAACCTAAATAATACTATCTAACAGTAAATTACCCTTATTATACCATGCGGCATCATATTTTGGATTAATTGAATTAGCATAGTCGTAGCATTCAATTGCTTCTTCATATTTATTTAATTTTCTTAATGTAAGACCTTAATAATAATGTCTAGCGTTAATACCCTTATTATACCAAGCAGCATCATATTTTGGATTAATTGAAATAGCTTTGTCGTAGCATTCAATTGCTTCTTCATATTTCTTTATATTGTTTAATACAAAACCTAAATAATACTATCTAACAGTTAATTACCCTTATTACACCAAGCAGCAGCATCTTTTGGATTCACTGAAATTGCTTTGTCATAGCATTCAATTGCCTCCTCATATTTATTTAATTTTCTTAATGCAAGTCCTAAATAGAAATGTTTAACAGTTAATAACCGTTGTTGTACCAAGCTATATCATATTTTGGATTAATGGAAATAGCTTTGTCGTAGCATTCAATAGCTTCTTCGTATTTATTGAGATCATCTAACGCATTACCTAATTAATAATGTCTAAAAGTAATTACCCTTATTATTCCAAACAACATCACTTATTGGATTAATGGAAATCGCTTTTTCGTAGCATTCAATTGCTTCATAATAAATATTTAAATTGCATAATGCAAGACCTAAATAATAAAGTCTAACAGTTAATTACCCTTGTTCTACCAAGCAGCATAATATTTTGGACTTATAGAAATAGCTCTATTGTAGAATTCAATTGCTTCTTAATATTCATTTAAATTGTATAAAGCCACTCCTAAGATAAGATGAAATTAATTTTACCTTCACTTACTAATTTTTCAGCCTCTTTTATACTCAACGACTCATGAGATTCAATTTACTAATTCATTTTGACTATTTTAATTTCATTTTAAGGACCAGAATCAAATAAACCATTGTTTAAAGTTTAGTCTGATACCATATTCTTTATTGTATTATGAATGTTATTCAATTATATTATTTGTTTTTCTATTATTAATAATTATAGGATACATTTTTAATTTTCCTTTTCCTTAAAGTACAACTGCTTGAGTACATGAATATAGGGCTTAAATGTTAAATAGTCTTTATTTAATAGATGTTGGGTCATCTTTTCTAATACTGTAGTTTCCTGATCCATTTAGTTAAACGTCTATTCAAATAAATTCTTTAGTTGTTTTAGAGAGTTCTTTTAATTATATCTCAAATTAATTGTAAACTAGCATGGATTCATTCATAATTTCCATTATTTCTGTGAATCGAACACAATCATTAAAATGTTCTGAATGAGTAGCATTTAAACATTTATAACAATATTGTGTTTCATTCTAACATTTCTGATTCAAACAAAACCCCATAATTTCTTCCTTTTCATGTTTCAGATATTTACATTTGAAGATATCCATTTAAATCCAAACAAAATAATTTATTTATTAATTTTTATTACTCTAATGATCCAAATTTATAATACACAATTTCATCAAACTTAGTATCATTATGAATTTAAAACTTTTAAGTATATATTTTTTTATTACTAATGATTGAACTCGAAAATAAAAATCTTCTTTAGATTGTTCTTATTACTTTATATAATTATAATAAAGTATCATATGCTCAAGAAATTTTAAAGTTTGAATTAGCTTGCCAACAAAAATACTTTTATTAAACTTTTCTTTCAAATTTAAAAACTTGCTACAGTCACTATCAATTTTTTGTTAAGATTGAAAAAATCTTAAATGATATTAAAATAATTCATGTAGCGATTCCAAATGCTGATATCTTGGATCACTGGATGCACCTTATTAATGGAATTGCAAACCTTGCAGTTGATGCAACTATCACTTGATAAAAAGGATTTATGTAATACTATATGGCCTCTTATTCCACTAATGCTTTTGAAGCATTGAAAAGCAACCAACCTGAAATTTCATCGTCTTAATGCATGATAATCTGAAGCAATCTGATTAGATCTTAGCCTGTAGATTTTATACCTCAAAATAGGATATCAGAATCAGGAGCATCCAGAGGAAGAACCAAACAAGCGTATAAGATCATGTAATTTAAAAAATAACAATAGCCACTTCCTTCAAAGGGTTAATGCTCAACATACTTCCTAGATATCACACTTAAGTTATCACTATTTTGCAATGACTATATATCAAATTTTGGCTAATTTGATCATAGTAGCGTCTAGTTGATCCTATTCAGATTTTATAAAGAAAAAGACGCATAAAAGCCTTGTTCATATAACTCATGTTCTAAGCGCCAATTAAGCTTTCATATTTGCTTATAAACTGGACCTAAAGTAGGTCTGAATTTTTTTAGAGAATTTCTTTTTCCTTGATACTTAACTTTCATTCTTGATAAAAGTATTTGATGGCTTGGAATTAATACAATTCAGAGAATAAAAATGCGTTCTCTCAAAAATTTCACACAATTAAAAATAAAAAAATGCAAATTAAAATAGAAATGTAGTGTTTGAATGCCACAGTAGGTATCAGTGAAATATCAATAATTCCTTGTGAACAAATAATTTAATCCAATGTCTCAATGTCAATTTAGTCCCTTTTTATGGTTGCTTGTTAAATACGTATTTTGTCTAGAAAATTGTGTAATTTAGAGTTTAAAATTATTATTAATTTCTAGGTATATTCAAATTATAAATATATGTTAAATTGTATTTTAATTAATTTGGTAATAATTTGTTTCAGAGGAGAATGTTTGACTTGTGATACTTGATGGGATTATAATTCTTAAAACTAAACTTGGAAATTTTAATGTGGGCATAAATTTATCACAACAAGTGAACAATGCAATGATGGAAATGACAACCCATTTGATGGGTGTCATTAATGCAAGTTTTCATGCCCTTTAAAATGTTAAAATTTGTACCTTTGGTAAATGTCAGATGTGTAATTCTGGCTATTATTATTTCAATATAAGATATAGCCACAATTATGATAATTTACTTACATAACAGTTCTTTCAAATTGAATAAAATTAATAACCAAATTATTTTGTTGAAATTGATGTTTTAGTATGTGGAATTGGAAAAATCTAATAGGCTGAAGAATGCAATAATGGAAACAACTTTCCTAAAGATGGATGTTATATTGTTATTTATAATCCATTTTAACTTTATAGAAATGCATCTTTGATACTTGCTTGTAATGTAGTTCAAAATATGAATTAATAAACTGTAAATGTCTGAAAATACAAACCGTAATTCAAATCTGTAAGTTGTAATAGGTTAGATTCAGTAGTTAGTGATAACTTAATATAAGAATTAAGTGATAACTTAATATAAGAATTAATTTAATTTACAGGTTTTGACACTACTGATATTTAATGTAATAATATTTGTGATATTGAGAGGTCAAGAATCAAATATAATAATCAATTACTTGAACTTAGGTGTCCAAAAAATGTACTTCTTTTTGAAAATGTAATTCATATAAGCAAAGCCGAAATCGATTGCTATAAATGTAAAGATAGTTCTCAGATTTAATATCTTTAATGTGTGGAGTCCTATTGCTTGCTTTTTATTGATGGTTGGCCACTTACCAATTGTATATACATAAGGATAATTAAATAGCTTTTGTTTTTAGAATAATGCGATAAAAATTTAGATTATTGTTTGGATTGTTATTTTGTCTGTTCAGAAAATTGTTAATTGTTATAAAAATCCTTAAGAATGTTTGGTTTGTACTTTGCATTATATTATGATAAATTATGAATGTTAATTACATTAAGGATGTAAGAAATGTAGTAATAGTATTTTTTATGACATAATAACTGTCCAAATGGAGAAATGAATATTAAATGCAATTTGCTATTCAATTTTTGGGGATATTAATATTATAAAAAGAGTGTTGTGATGATGCGAATAACATATGATTTGACGATTGTTTCAACTGTCAAATTGATTATAAGTTTTAAGAAATGACTTATAGTTATTCTGATTGTCAATATACTGAATCTCCATTGATAGTAGAAACTTCTTCCACTAAATTTATGATAAATGATATCTGTGATTTAAGCAAACTTTTTTAAAGATAATTATGATTTGAAAATCTTTTTGAGTCTAGCATTATTAAACAAGCAATAAAGAGTATAAAAACAAATTTCAGTCGGAGGTTTTCAAATATAATTTCAAGACTATAGAATTGAAGAATTTATTATAGTCAAAAAGAAAATGGATAAATGGATCTTTTCTATTTCAAATTTAATTTCATTTTGGTAGTTTATCTTTATTTCTATATTATGATTTTCAAAATCACTAAAAAAAAAAATAGTTCTAAACTTGATTTACTAAAATTTTCATCCTTTCTTAAAGTATTTCCTAGCCAAATCTTTTTACTTGTAAATCTAAATTTATCTCTTATTCATGTTGTTTTTGAATTTTTACTTTCAAAAATGATTACTATTACTTCATTATCTGATAGCAAACGACGGATATTTGTTGATTGTGCGAACAAGAACACAGATCATAATTCTTACCATAGGTTTCAAATAGCATAGCCTAATTTTAAACTAATCCTCAATAGCCATTTAGGCTACCAAATTCAAAATGAATTATTCAGACACAAACCCTAATATAAAGAACTCCCTTTTTTTTTGTTCCTTTCTATTAATGTTAGTAATATCGAAATTTCTCTTTGAAAATTTAGCAAAATATTCCAGAAAAGAAATACAAAAAATTAAATTAACATATAAGTATTCTCAAATCTTGGTCTTGAGCATAGAGTAGCCCAGCACCTTCAGTGATTTTAGGCACTACAGAGAGCATCACGAATAGGGACCAAGGAGGAAAACAAAGGAAAATTTTTTATATGCTGTAGAGTATTCAAGGATTTAAACTCATACTGTGGATTGGAGTTAGGTTGGAATTTTTGACAGTAATGTACAGCCATGAGAAATAATAAGAATTAGATAAGCTATTAATTCTATTATTCTATCTTGAATAACCTTTTGTAAATCTAACAAAAATTTAACAATTTTATTTAGTATGTAATTTAAAGGTCATCATTTACTACCCCTGAAGGCTCTTGAAAAAAGAAGCCACAGAAAGGCAGTATTTAACTACAGTTTAATCATCGTAACTTATATTAAATAACTAGGTACCTTTTTTGCGTTAGTAAGTCATATAACACCTGTCTGTTAGAATAAGGTAATTAATTATTCTTCATAAAAATGCACGGAGGCTTTTTTATGAGCAATTATTCAGAAAGTAAATTAAAATATTTTTCAGTTCTGTTCAAACAATAAAGATTTCTAATTTGAAATTTTCTGATTTTATAATTTGAGCGATTATTAAAAATCATTTTTTTATTGAGAGAATATCCAATAATGTAGATAATAACGAAATCTATTCTATTTATCGATATTTTAACCGAAGATTGAAATTTTAAATGAAAATTATCCCATATAAATATACACTTAAATAGAATGATTAAAAAAAATTAAATTAAGAAAATAATGATTTTGAGTTTATATTTTAAAAAATGATAAATTCAATTCTTGTTAAAGAAAATACTCTTAACTTGCAACTTAATTTTTTATACCATATTATAATAAGTATTTGTTCTGGTAATTGTAGAATTTACTTATTTGTGAAATCAGTTTAATACCTCTAACTTTTATTATAAGATTCATAATAATTTGTAAAATACTTTATTTTTTTTGGTTGGCAATCTTAATTAAATTTATAGAGTAATAATCAAACATTTTTGGTAAATTAAATTTTCTTTGATAAAAATGAAAATTTTCGACAATATATAAGATTATATTGAAAATCAGGATAGATATATTCTTTAATGCTGGGCAAAATGTTGAAGGAAATTTCAATTCTGATCTTAAAGTTGCTAATATGAATTTAGTACCAACCTTTTAGAAACAGACTTTGATTACATGTAGTTTTTTTTTTGGCATATTTTGATGTTCAAAAAAAAATAATGAAAGGTTTTAATTTGAACATTTTGAAGTATTTTACTTTATTCTTCCTTTTAAATAAATGAGATAAGCTTAATAAATAAAAAATAAATCTTATATAAAAATTTAAGATTGAAAATGGAATTTATTATGTTCATAATTTAGAAAAATGGTAGTAGTTGACTTGAAATCGTAGACTAGAATTGATGACAAATATTTATTAATTATCTATTAAGTATGATATATTATTTTAGAATGTTCACAACTTTGTAAAGTAAGATAGAATAATGCGGAGTGTCTATGATGGTCTCAATATTAGCAAATCTAAATAAGTAGTTTATTTAATATTTTGATGTCATGAGCAAATGATCAGAAAAAATATATATTTAATTTTCAATTATAAATATAACCTGATTTCATTTAATTTGATATAGTATAAATGAAATTGATCCAACACTCCTTTTAATACCATAAAATACAGTCGATCCAACAATAATCCCTCTAAACCCCTCTTCAACAAGTCAGAAATGTGTGATAGGTTAAGCAATTCATCCTGCAAGCAATACTTAGAACTCTTAGATACAAGAAACCAAATATTTCATTTTACTAGTTCTTACACCAAAAGATGAATCTCATTGGAATAAATATTATGTTTTAATACTTTGCTATTAATCTATATATTAATAAGTAAAACAGTAGATTCTTAGTAGCAATAATCCTGATTCTTGTACAGTTTGATTCTTAGCTTTCATTAAGCAAAGTTAAAAATTTATCATCCTATAAATTTGTGCAGAGAAGCACTTCATTCAAAAAATTAGGATGAAATAAGTATCAATTCAAAAGGGAATTCTTGAATAATTGAGCATGAAAAAATATTTTTGGAATTATACAGAAATTAATATAATAATCGTCATCTAACTCTTTAAGAGGTAAACTAGGAGGAGATCTAACCTGAACAAAGGATTATGATGAAAAACCAATTAATAATTTTAATTATTCAATTATCTTCAAGGATAATATGTTTGTGTTAACAGATCATTTCCGTTCACATTAATGATACATAATCATCAAAAGAATAGTATTTTTTATTTTGAAAAAAATCAGAATTCAGCTTAAAATCTATCTTAAAAAAGCTAAGTTAATTTGCTACATTTTTATAAGAACTTATTTTATGAAAATGATTACAAATTTCACCCTCTCTACACTGAATGGACAAATAATTAACTCAGATATCTACGAATATTCGTTCAATTTTCATCTAAATTAAGTTGCTTAGAATTCATAAATGATTTCAATTAATTACAAATTCTAAGAATTATAAATAAAATCTATTAGAACTGGCTATTAAATAAAATTAGGGCAAGCATAATTCAAAATACTTTATTCTCAAAATTAATTTAGTTAAACAATAATATTTATTGAAAATGATAAAATTACACATTAAGTTATAAAGAAATTTAATTAATATTCCAAATCTATAATGTGGAAGGAAATTATTGTTATTTTAATTTGCATTGATAATCAAAAGGCTTAGAAAGCTTAAATTTTTAGGATGGTCATGTAAGTATGGTCTAGATTATTTCCTCCTTTGTTGTAAAATTTCAATCCAGAAGCCAATTAATCAGAAAATTTTAAAACATATAAGGTAGATTTGGCAATACCATCAAAAATGACTTTTTCAATTAGATCAGCTGTTATTACAAATACTTGCATTTCTGTTTATCTATTATCATTATCCCACATCCAAAATCTTACAGTATTGATTTAATTTATTGATAAAAATCGTACTATTACCGATTCTCGAAGATATACATCAACATGTCCCAAATCACCAATATAGTGTGGGTAGAGCGAGTTTCTTAAAGGACTATTGTCAATATTACTTACATGAAAAAGAATGGCCCTTGCTGAGGGAATAAGTGCTCCGTTAAATTAAGATGCTACATCTCTGTAATTCCCCCTAATAATGGATGCTTTTCTTAAAATATAAAGATCATTTTAAGAACATTTTACATTTGCATCAACAACTGGTAAAGAAGCAAAATCTGAGTACTTTAGTAAGAAAAATAATAGAAATAGTTTCATTAAAAATATTAATCTAATCAATAATATAAAAATTATAATTAAAATTTATAGATCAATAATATATTGAGGGAATAAAGCCATTAAAATAACTTCAGCCATTATTTTATATTATTTTAACTAATGGCACTTTTCTACATCTAATAATCTTAAAACTTTCTTAAAGTATAGTAGATTTATTATTCTTGAAGAAAGAAATAAAATTTATATTTTTGAATTTGATCAATTTATAATTTTCAAATTAATCAAAGTATATTTTATTCAAGCTTATTTTAATTAACTAGCGACAGAATAATAAGAAAATCAGAATAATTCATTGTTGATTCATTATTGGCATTCTACTAAAATTATTTACCTCCAAAGAGAATTAAGCAAAACNCTTAAAAAAGCTAAGTTAATTTGCTACATTTTTATAAGAACTTATTTTATGAAAATGATTACAAATTTCACCCTCTCTACACTGAATGGACAAATAATTAACTCAGATATCTACGAATATTCGTTCAATTTTCATCTAAATTAAGTTGCTTAGAATTCATAAATGATTTCAATTAATTACAAATTCTAAGAATTATAAATAAAATCTATTAGAACTGGCTATTAAATAAAATTAGGGCAAGCATAATTCAAAATACTTTATTCTCAAAATTAATTTAGTTAAACAATAATATTTATTGAAAATGATAAAATTACACATTAAGTTATAAAGAAATTTAATTAATATTCCAAATCTATAATGTGGAAGGAAATTATTGTTATTTTAATTTGCATTGATAATCAAAAGGCTTAGAAAGCTTAAATTTTTAGGATGGTCATGTAAGTATGGTCTAGATTATTTCCTCCTTTGTTGTAAAATTTCAATCCAGAAGCCAATTAATCAGAAAATTTTAAAACATATAAGGTAGATTTGGCAATACCATCAAAAATGACTTTTTCAATTAGATCAGCTGTTATTACAAATACTTGCATTTCTGTTTATCTATTATCATTATCCCACATCCAAAATCTTACAGTATTGATTTAATTTATTGATAAAAATCGTACTATTACCGATTCTCGAAGATATACATCAACATGTCCCAAATCACCAATATAGTGTGGGTAGAGCGAGTTTCTTAAAGGACTATTGTCAATATTACTTACATGAAAAAGAATGGCCCTTGCTGAGGGAATAAGTGCTCCGTTAAATTAAGATGCTACATCTCTGTAATTCCCCCTAATAATGGATGCTTTTCTTAAAATATAAAGATCATTTTAAGAACATTTTACATTTGCATCAACAACTGGTAAAGAAGCAAAATCTGAGTACTTTAGTAAGAAAAATAATAGAAATAGTTTCATTAAAAATATTAATCTAATCAATAATATAAAAATTATAATTAAAATTTATAGATCAATAATATATTGAGGGAATAAAGCCATTAAAATAACTTCAGCCATTATTTTATATTATTTTAACTAATGGCACTTTTCTACATCTAATAATCTTAAAACTTTCTTAAAGTATTTTATTAAAGCTTATTTCGATTAACTAGCGACAGAATAATAGAAAAAAAATCAGAATAATTCATTGTTGATTCATTATTGGCATTCTACTAAAATTATTTACCTCCAAAGAGAATTAAGCAAAATTTAAAATTACAGAAAGCTTCAGAATAAGTTTTATGTATCCAGGTCTCAAATTGAAAAATAATTTTATATATCTCAATACAAAAAATAAAATAACAAATTTCGCTGATGATGTCATAATTGACATGTTCTGAGGAACTGCCCTCTGAGCCTGTCCTGTTGCCTAAGGGACTGAGACAGACTCAGAATGAGCATGATGGCATTGAAGAAGTAAGCTAAGATAGGAAGAGAGTGAGATTTAGACTAGGAGCTCCTAACAACCCGGTCGAGCCTAGCTGCTCGGGGGAGGATGTTGAATTGAAATTATATCTCAAAGCTTCCTTCAAAAGATAATCAAAATTGAGTGAATTTTATGGTAAAAACTCTTAGGCTTCGTGACAGTTTCGCTTATAAAAATAATCTAAATCTTACTTAATTTCTTAGATTTCTTGATAAATTTTTAATTCAAATTTCGAAATTAAGACTTTTTTACTCTTTTTCTCTACTAATCATGCTCTCAGGTCATGTGATAGAACATTTCAAAGGAGATATTACTGTAAATCTTAAATTGTCAATAATAAATCTTAATCTCAAAATTATTCATCTGTTGATAGGCTAATACCAAGAGATTCCATAATTAATGTGCGAACCTGGCTAAGAAAATTATATAATTTCAATTAATTGGATCACATTATTGGCAATTTATCTAATACTGAATAGAAATATGCAACATAATAGTTAAGAAGTGAAAGTTTCTGAATTATAATTAAATATGAAATTGAAAAAATAGTTTAAATAGTTATCAAATTTTCTATAGTTTAATGATTTTCAATTCTCTAAAAAAAAATTATGAACTAAATCTAATTTAAAATTACTTGATAGGTGCTTACATTCGATATCCAAATATCGAATTTTCTATAAACTGTTTGGATTTGATAAAAACTGAAGTTGATCTTATAGCCCAAATTAAAATTACTAGTCTTTAAAAGTATTAACGAATAAGATAATATCAATTTTTGAATGAAATAGATGATGCCTCACACTATAATTTAACATAATCACAATGTTAACTTAATATTATAAGATGATTGTAATATGAATAAGTCAATAAAATTAAGAAATAGTCCAGGTTGGAACTTTGAAAAAGGAAAGCTAAATTGTAAATACGAATATTTATTATTATGAATCTGAATAATTAATGATTTTGACTATTAACTGAACAAATTCATTCTTCAGATTTAGAGAAAAATTAGACATGAACTGAAAAATTAATTTAAATTTAATAAGTCATAGAAATGTGAAATAAAAATTTCAGGGAAATTTATTACAAGTAATGGCATCCTGATTAAGTTAATTATTTTATTTTATAAAATTGCCATTCGGGATGATGTAATTAATAAAAATATATTCATCCTAATTTTTAATAATTTTTCAATTAATACAAAGATTTTCCAATTTATTTAGAGGGTGAGCAAAAACAATTAAATCTGGCAATCTTATTTAAGTTAATTGATTAATCAAATCAAAGAACAATTCGCTATTGAATTATAATTAATATTAATCGTCAATCATTAAAAGATAGATATAAATCTATATATTTAATGAAAATATGTAATTTAGATACTCAAAAATTTGAATTACATAAAAAGTGCCTTTTTAAATTCATATGAGTCTAATTTTTGTTAAATTTTATTTTGAAATATTCTTTATTAATTGATATTGTAATGTACATTATAATTTAATTTTAGATAGATGAAATTGATTATCAAAATTTCAAATAAAGTTGTTAGAATTTAGATATNGCTTCCTTCAAAAGATAATCAAAATTGAGTGAATTTTATGGTAAAAACTCTTAGGCTTCGTGACAGTTTCGCTTATAAAAATAATCTAAATCTTACTTAATTTCTTAGATTTCTTGATAAATTTTTAATTCAAATTTCGAAATTAAGACTTTTTTACTCTTTTTCTCTACTAATCATGCTCTCAGGTCATGTGATAGAACATTTCAAAGGAGATATTACTGTAAATCTTAAATTGTCAATAATAAATCTTAATCTCAAAATTATTCATCTGTTGATAGGCTAATACCAAGAGATTCCATAATTAATGTGCGAACCTGGCTAAGAAAATTATATAATTTCAATTAATTGGATCACATTATTGGCAATTTATCTAATACTGAATAGAAATATGCAACATAATAGTTAAGAAGTGAAAGTTTCTGAATTATAATTAAATATGAAATTGAAAAAATAGTTTAAATAGTTATCAAATTTTCTATAGTTTAATGATTTTCAATTCTCTAAAAAAAAATTATGAACTAAATCTAATTTAAAATTACTTGATAGGTGCTTACATTCGATATCCAAATATCGAATTTTCTATAAACTGTTTGGATTTGATAAAAACTGAAGTTGATCTTATAGCCCAAATTAAAATTACTAGTCTTTAAAAGTATTAACGAATAAGATAATATCAATTTTTGAATGAAATAGATGATGCCTCACACTATAATTTAACATAATCACAATGTTAACTTAATATTATAAGATGATTGTAATATGAATAAGTCAATAAAATTAAGAAATAGTCCAGGTTGGAACTTTGAAAAAGGAAAGCTAAATTGTAAATACGAATATTTATTATTATGAATCTGAATAATTAATGATTTTGACTATTAACTGAACAAATTCATTCTTCAGATTTAGAGAAAAATTAGACATGAACTGAAAAATTAATTTAAATTTAATAAGTCATAGAAATGTGAAATAAAAATTTCAGGGAAATTTATTACAAGTAATGGCATCCTGATTAAGTTAATTATTTTATTTTATAAAATTGCCATTCGGGATGATGTAATTAATAAAAATATATTCATCCTAATTTTTAATAATTTTTCAATTAATACAAAGATTTTCCAATTTATTTAGAGGGTGAGCAAAAACAATTAAATCTGGCAATCTTATTTAAGTTAATTGATTAATCAAATCAAAGAACAATTCGCTATTGAATTATAATTAATATTAATCGTCAATCATTAAAAGATAGATATAAATCTATATATTTAATGAAAATATGTAATTTAGATACTCAAAAATTTGAATTACATAAAAAGTGCCTTTTTAAATTCATATGAGTCTAATTTTTGTTAAATTTTATTTTGAAATATTCTTTATTAATTGATATTGTAATGTACATTATAATTTAATTTTAGATAGATGAAATTGATTATCAAAATTTCAAATAAAGTTGTTAGAATTTAGATATAATAGCTTAACAGAAAAATCAATTCCATATGTAGGTTTTTATTAATTAAAATTTAGGAATTCTATGAAATATTTAGAAGGGAGACATAAAAAGTAGAGATTTTTAATTTTACTTATTGACTAGGTCTTGTTAATACTTTCAATACACTATATTTATGATTTTTAAACAATTATAGATTATAAATAAATTCAAAAGCAATTTTCAATACACTCTAGAAATAAGGATATATGGGATGAAGAATTGGCAGAAATAAATTTTCTATTGATTTAACCATAGAATTTTGTATAATATTTAATTCTTATAAATCTCAATTACTTCTATAATGATAATCAACTTCTAAAAATATATTTTAAAATTTTTTTCTAGTTGCCTATTCGTTTCCTAAACACTTTTTTATCCATTATAATATATAGTTTTATAATTGTTGGTAAATATCAATGGCTAAAGTGAAAATAAGAATTAATGTAAAACCCCCTACATTAATCCAACCTAAAAGTTCAGCTAAGTTTTTGTCTTAATTGAATCTGATAATGTCATAAACGGAAAATAGTATAACATTAAGCAAGATCAGAAGTTCTGTGCTAACTATTTTCATATTTTCATAATTATTTTTAAAAGGTTTATAAATTGCAATATAACAAGCAAATACTCCTGATAAACAACCTGTAATTAGACTCTAAGCAGCAAAAAGGCCTTAAAGTAAAACTAAATTCACTATGAAAAAGGTTTTCTTAATCAACAAAACAGTGAAATATTATTTAGATCCTTACCTGAAATTATAATCAATTCCTTCCACTAAGACTGATAATGTCTTGGCTACTTTTACTTTTTTGCTGAGATAAGAATAGAATAATATGATTAGGAATAAGTTAATTAGTAATGTAATCAGGGCTAATAATGAAATAGTTGCATTTAAAGAGGTATCAGCATTGTAATTGGCAATTTATAAAATAGACGCAAAGGTTAATTCATAAAAATTAGAAGTAAAAATTCTAATTAATCCAGAGTAAATGAAATACTAATATTACCTTCTTGATAACTTCTAAAAGAAAAAAATAAATCTGACAACTGGAAAGATTTTTTATTAATGAGCGTAAAAGGTAGCTGGCCAATTTTAGTATCTAATAAAGACCAAGAATTTATAAAAGAAGAACGAGAAAATAAAATAAGCAAATCCAATAATCACTACTACTACAAATGTTTACAAGTTGATCAAAAAGTAGCAATTGAGTTAATAGAATTCAAATTTCCACTTAGCTGGTATGATTGGAATTTTGTAATCAAAAAAATCTTGTATATATGAATCTATTTATAAGAAATGTATTATAGGAGTAAAAGAACCTATTGTAAAAATTTCAAAATAGACTTGTAGATTCTCTGGGAATTGAAGATTATGAAATTTCATATACGATAATTACTAAAGCATATCAAGGAGATTCCATAAAATTTCTAAATTGCCACAACAAAAAGCTATTCCACTTACAACCAAGATGATATACAAGACAATTTTACTAAGAAGGGCAGTTTTAGAAATAAGGGATTGGTGATCCTTTGACATTTTATTAGGAGATTTTAATAGTAACTTTTCTTAGTTAGAGAGTAAAGTATTGTCTTAAATATTTACGATATTCTCACATTTGATTATAACTTTTAATACAGGATTTGAAATGCTGTTTTTAAAATACACGACTATCTTATAAATTACATCAGCCAATACAGAAGAGATAGAAATAATGGGCTTAATTTCTACAGCATATTCAGAATCTTAAGCATTTTCAATAGTAACAATAATCATCTGAAGAAATTATTCTTCATTAATGTTATTTACATTCAAACGCACTTGTTCAGAAAGGTTAATTGGAATTCTTAATTATCTGAGTTTGACTTTGTGAGTTTAGTAAGGATAATCACAGGTTGAATCTTATAATTACACACACTAATATTATTTTCTTATTAGCATTTCCAATTATCTTCAACTTCACAAATATCACTGCATCCATCATTATTCTAAATATTTCCATCGTCACATTATTCTATTTCTTTGGTTAGTAAACCATCCCCACAAACATTAAAGCATTATGATCCATCTTCTAAGTAGCCATCTTCGCATAGTAAACATAGTCCTTAGAAGC